GACGGGGTCCGGAGTCTATGAGCGGGAGTGGTGGGGCTAACAATACCAATAGGAGCGGACGCTGGAGTCGAATTGAGAGCCAGTGGTGGGCATAAAAACCTCCCTTCGTATCGAACTTAATGGCGGTGGAAATCCCACCCGTCGATACGGCCTGTAACCGACGGCAAATGCCCAACTCCGTCTCCTAGGGGCCTCACTACTTATTGGAAGTAAGAAATCTGTCTCCGTGTAATCCACCGTCAAACTCTGCACGTACCCACCAACGCACGAAATAAGTAATACCAGACGTGTATGCGCATTCGCATGGAAAACACAATGTGGCTACCTGTTCTTCGGTATTGAACTGCCCAACCGGGGTGGCCCATGTTCGACCTCCGACCGCTGCGCTACCCGTGCCATCTCTTATAGTCTTGACCGTCCGCGTTCTTTGCTGTTCATTAATTAAGCAAATTTCACTCGCTCCGCGACTGTCGGCCCTAGAGCTATCAAGCTTCTTAGTGCGCACGCCATGCACGTAAGGTAAGCAAACGATGAGACCAAGGTGCCGACGTGAATGCCACTCCCCAGACCACCCCCGCCCGAAAAAGAAAAACCCAAGTCCGGGAATCAAGCGGTACTCGGGTGGGTAGCCCGAACGCACCATCCCAGCGTGCATGGTCGTCTGTTCGCACTCGGTCGGGAGCGCAGACGCCATTGCATATGAATGAACCGCAGATGACGCCCCTGCCCTGCGACCCAGACCCCGTCCCACGGTATTTGCCTTCCCCACTGAGCCCTGGAGCTTTTGTTTCTCCCGAAGCATTGCCGGCAACTATTTGGAACTTCCACATCGGATCAGATTTTACGGAGGGGCGGGAACGAACAAAGAGATCCATTCAAGCGCTCTTTTGCTTGGCCTTGCATTTCATTATCGGATTGATCCGAAACCCGTTTTCCACCAGGAGGGGAAGTTATGGCACACTTTGATGTACGTAGTCTGTGATCCCGATGAAATGGAACTTGTGCATCACATTGACACGAGCATGGGGACATCGACCGCGCCCAGAAAGAATCGCAGAATCCATTGCCACGACATGGAACTCGAATCTTCCACTTGCGGAGGGCAGAGTAGGGACACCATTCGGTTCTGCAGAATACACGGATGCATTTTATAACAATTGTCTACTGAGAGGACGCAAATACTGAACATTTTGCCCAGCTCCTTTCAAGGCAGGCCGCCTGGCTTCTTTTGTATTTTCGTGCTGTCTCTAAGATGAATCATATTCTAAGAAAGTTGCCCCAAGCATCTGCTCAACCAGTGGCAATGGACCGCGGCTGTGACGTTCTGGCGGCCATCAAAAACATGTTTGGGTAGTGTCTGAAGAACAACGGGATCCTGAATCCCACCAGCCCTCTGGGCGCTGGTGGTCTAGAGCGTTTCCTCTTCCACCCCACTTCTTCCCTTTCGGTGAGGGGTTTATCACTGTTCCCTATTAGTATACACCCCCTCCCCCAAGCGACTGGGAGCCAACCCGAGTCCATGAGGGCACCCTCCCACCATCTTTTTTATACAGAACAATACAAACCACACTCTGCCCCCACCATCCCTTGTAACCAAAGCGGTGCAAAACACATTCTGCTTCAAAATTCGGAGCATGCGCAGCGAACCCGATGTGGCCTCCCCCCACGACCCCTGTCAAACAACAATGCAGAATACACTTGGCGGCGGCGGCGGCGGCGGCTGCGGCGGCTGCGGCGGGGGCAGCGGCTGCAGGCTCGGGTGCTACGCATGTGTTGGGAGGGCGGGTGGGAGTGAGCGAAACGGCTTGTACCCCCTCCCCTGGATCTGGACGGGGCGCCCCGCGAGCGGTCAAATCGTCCAAGATGGCCCAAGATGACCCCAAGAGGGCGTCAGAGAGCCCAAGGTAAGCTCCAAGATGGCTCAAGATAGCGCAAGATCTCGAGATGGCTCCCAAGATGCTCCAAGACGCCCCAAGACTGCTCCAAGACGGCTCTAAGTTGCCAAACGAGCTCCCCACGGATGCCCCCAAGAAGCCAACATCCTTCAACAACCTTGGGAAAATCAATAGTTGTTGCTTTCTTGCCTTTTCGCATCCGGTGGCCATTCGAGGCCTGAAGGTAACTCCAATATGGCCCAAGAGAGCCCTAAGAGGGGCCCAAGGTAGCCCTGAGACGGCCCCAAGAGCGCCCAAGAAGGCTCAAACAGGCGACTTGGGGGGCTCCCGAGGGGAGAGGCTAATTAAGGGAGCCCCCTTCTTTGAGCCTTTTCGCTTCCGATGGCCATCCGAGGCCTCAAGATGGCTCCAAGATGGCCCAAGAGGGCTCCAAGAGCGCCCCCAAGGCTCCCAAGAGCGCTTCAAGAGGGCCCCAAGAGGCGCCCAGGAGGCCCCAGGAGGCGCCCAAGAGGCCTCCAGGAGGCTCCCAAGAGACCCCGAAAGGCCCCAAGAAGCTCTGCGAGGCCCCCAAGACGCCCCCAAGACGCTCCCAGAGGCCTCCACTGGGGGACCCTTCCTCTGTGTGCTGCTCACTTCCCTGATGGAGGCAAATCCTCTGGGCATCGTTTCTGGACGGGCTGGTGGGGTTACTTGTTTGTTCGCGAGCGCAAGCGGAAGAGCCGCGCGCCGTCAAGGGATTGCCGAGTAGCAAACACATACATTACAACGGGCTAAAACGGGACCGAACGGGTGCAGCCAACACTCTGGTGGGGTTACGCGAGGCGTCCAGAATTTCAAAGCATTCACTAATTACTCCACATGGGTATCCCAAGCACGCCTTCTGCTCCGACTGTCGCTTTGGAGTCCGCTCTCGCCTGGGAGCGTGCTCGTGATGCCCACCCCCGCATCCGCCGGGGATGTGTGCTCTGCCTCTTGCGACGATTGGTACTCTGCCGCTTGCATCGCTCTGCAGACAACAATGGCTAGATGCATAGTTGGAGCGGGGGGATACCTTCCTCGAGCGCAGCGTGAACCTGCTTGCCCGATGGCAAACTTACAAGTTCTGTGATCTGCGCTCCTCCTCCTCCTTCGTTCCTCCTCCTCCTCCTCCTCCTTCTCCTCCTTGTCGCTGTTTAGCGTGTCCTCTGTTTCACCCTTGTTTCACCGCTCCCTGGTTTACAGGAGAGCTCTTGCGCTGGCAAGTCGTGGTGCTATCATGCGAAAGCAGCCACCCTATGGAGCCAAATTAGAAAGGAAAACAAAACATATGCAACATGTCTCTGCACATGGTTGGTCAAGAGTGGGCAAGTAAATCATAATGCGACACTGGGATGCGGTATCGATGCCAACGCACAAGAACAAGTCTTGGAAATGGCAATCCAAGAGTACCCTACTGTGCGAAGTTTGGAAACACATTCTGGGATGGCGGCTACATGTTTTATCAAATACCCACCACTGCTCCAATGGCTCATCTAACATCGGCCGGCAACAACCAGGCAGCAACCAGATCTGCCCGAAGGTGGAGACCATTTTCGAGGAACAGGTTGCGAGCGGATACGAGCGCGAAGCCGAAGCTGAAGATTCAGGAGACGAAGAATATCTAGAATCACTACGCCCCTCTTGACGTCCATGGGCAAGCAAGTGACCTCTTACGCATAATAGATTCGATCCCTATCGGGGCAGATGATGCGACGATCATGGAAAATGTGGAACAACGCAGATGGTCGGCACTGAATATTCGAACATTCTGGACGGCCGCCGGGGCAGATGACAATGTAGCATTGTTGGGTGGCGCAATACTTCATTGATATATTCCAAACGTTCAACACGTTTGCTACGACACATATGGTTCGGGATTCATTGTGCATACCAGGCACGGTATGCGACAGATCGGGATCATGGATGTGCATGGTTTAATGGTATGGCTGGAAGGCCAAGGTGCTGTGAACATCGCGCCGAATGCGCTCTTCCAAGGTGCAATGCAAGAACGACTCATTGACGATATCGCTGCCTTCACTGCCAGGGCTCGGAGAATGTAAAGGATATACTTTGCAATCTCTGTCACATTGTACAACACTCCAGAATTACGTTTCTTCTTATCCCAAACGTTGCGAGATCACGCGCGACCTCAGCCACCACCAAATCCTAACAGACCGCGATTCGGTACAACACCAGCCCCACCAACACAAGCATCCACTCAACGGGGAGGGCGCCCAGGCATCGCGAGAGTACCAAATTGATGGAACCACACCGACGCTATAGACATCCGCGCCGAGATGGACCTCAACGTCAGGACCATGAAGAACATGCCGATATGCATACGCGGGCCCTTCCTTCCAATTGTAACGCAGTGTTTAGCCAAAACCGAACGAACACTTTTGTGCTGGGACCGTGACGATAGTGCAGAAGTGCACTGCGCCCGGGCTTGGATACTGTTCATCCTGCTGCCCCGAATGCTGCTCCACCCCACCAAGCATGAGGGTGAAACTGGAGAACGAGACCTATGACGACGAATTGCATTGTTCGGCTCCGGGGAATGGGACAAACTATTGGAAACATCCCGGAAATTAATCAGAGCACCACGGAAACCAATACTCATGTCATAAGAATCCGTGTGATTCGTAATGGGAACCCGGGCCCCGCATTATGAACACCCATGGTCTTCGTTATGGAAATCCGTGCCCCGTGTTGTGGAAACCCGTGGTCCTTGACATGGAAGCCTGGGTTCCATGTCATAGAAAACCGGTTATCAAATCCCGTCTCCCGTCGTCGAAGTGTTAATATATTATTGCGCCGACAGCGGCAAGATGTTTGAATATCTGTGACTTCGTTTTTTGTTTACGGTCTCTTGCAATATTGTTATTGGTCTTCTTTACTTTCCGAATCCCTCTCTCCTGATGCATGGTTCTGCAATTGGACTTGCTGCGGAACGAAGCCATGAATCCTATTCACCTTTGAGCTTGTGAACGCGAGGTCCATTTTTGGCGAGATGTGTCCTGGGCACCAGGGAATTCAAACATCGAGGAGGAAACTGTTTGAGGACAAGGGAGGAGGAACGAAGGAGGACGATCATAATCTTTGCGAGTGGTTCATTCAGCTTTACATCATTAACGCGCGCCCAATTTCCAAATCCTATCTCTGCCCACTATCTGCAACACATGTGTCCCGAACCGTATCCAAACGCAGTGCGGAGAACCCGCTACAAACCATCTCCCGTTCAGCGCGGCGAGTTCGCTCCAAATCTTACTCCAGCTCAGTGCGGCAAGTTCTTCTTGACCGTTCTCTTGGCTCCACTGACAACGCAACACGTTTATATAAAAACAGCCAGCCAGCTTTGTCACTTCCCATTATTAGGCCCATATTTACCCAGGATTTCGGAGATCCGCGCAGATTTCTCGGATCGGCGCGGCGCTGGAAGCGTGCCGCCAGGGGGCTCCAGCGCCGATCCGAGAAATCGGAGCGTTTGCGGCCGCCAGTCGGCACGTTTGCGCGCCCCCCCCCCATCGCCCATGTGGCCGATTGCGGAATCCCTGAACCCCAAAAATGCTGCACCTCTTGGATGCGCATCTTTTACTTCCGTCCGCTTCCGCCGGCGGAGTCGCCCTCGTTTTACTTCCGCCGAAACAAAGATCGCAACTCCTTCGGCTCTCGAATGCGAGGCCCTTCCTGGAACGCAACGTGTCGGCACGCCCATCACACGCATCGTGCCCCACAGGGAGCTCCAGCTCACTCCCTCCCGCGGCACACGGCACAGCAGGACAGGGCCCCCCCTATGCTACAAGCAGCTGCGCAGGGTTGCGTCCTTCGCGTGGCTCGGTTTTCTCGGACATAGACGGCCAGCCGACGGCGAGCGCACCCAGACGGCCCAGCGAAAATTGGTGCGGCAGCGCGTTCAAGGCAAGGAGGATCTGCTGAAGCGAGACGTGCTTCAGAAGACTCCCACTGACTCCAGCGTGATGGAGAACTCCCCAGCCTTGAAGTTTGGGTTCAGGTCCCCGTCGTATCCGAATTTGCTCAACGTGAGTTGCAGCGTCGTCAGCTTGGCTGCGTTGTACTTCACATCTGGCACTCGCTGGGCGAAGAGCGTTGGGACAAACTCGGAGAACGGCGCCATTACTTCGGTCACATCGGACAAAGGGTTCCAAGACTTGGTGTCGAACTCGTAGCTCCAAGCAATCCCGTTCCACTCGTAAGAATCGCGAATGATGAGCTTGTACCGCTGGTCGCCCCCGCCCCTCACCCGCAGGCGGATCCCCTGGCACCGGCTGGCGTCGAAGGCTGGCCGGAAGGCCTGGGTGCGAATGCCGGCGAAGCCTCCTCCGGCCGTGATGATGTTGCCCCTCCAGACGTTCCCCTCCAAGAAGGACTCCGAGGCCCCCCCCATGATGACGTCGTCCTGCACGCCCCACACCAGCCTCCCCGCGTCGCCCGCGGGCCAGAGCACGTCGCCGGGGGAGAGCCCGACGGGCTCCTCGTCGTCCCTCCGCAGCAGGCCGGCGGCCGGGCACGAGGGGGCGGGGCGCGCGGGGTGGCCTTCTGAGGAGGCGGGTGTTTGCAGTCGTACAACGGAGAGGGGGAATATGAGAGGGAGGAGAAGGATGGTTATGATGAGGACACGATGGAGGAACGAGAGGAAGAGAGAAAAGAACACGCTGCTCAATCTCGTGCTGCTCCGCGTCATGGTCTTCTGGGAAGGCCTCTCACGAGGCGCGAGGCCGCCCGGGGAGCCCCCCTGCCTTCTCGGGAGGCCGGCACCCTCAGGGCTGGTCCGTGCACCCTGGTGGGCGCCCCTCCTCTCTCACTTCTCGACACGGGGTGGGCCGTTCCACCCCGTGCTGTTTCACCCCGTGTCTGCTTCGTCCGACGCCGTTTCACGCACCCGGGCGCTGTTCACCCGGTGCTGTTTCATCCGGGCGCTGTGGCGCTGCTCACCTGGGGCAGGTGCACCGGATCTATTTCACCCCTGTAAGGCCATGGTTCGAGCGGGCAGACCCGAACGGGTAGGTCGGGTCGGGCGGACCTTCACGGGCGAGCCAGGCGGCACGGGCGGGCGGAGCCACCGGGCGGGTCGGGCGGGCACTGGCGGGCAGGCCTGGCGTGACATTCAAGTGTGGGACACCATCGTGTAGGGCCATGGCTCGGGTGGGACGGGAGGGTCGTGTGGGCGGAGCCAGGCAGACGGGTCCGTCGGTCGGGCGGGCCCTAACGGGCGGGGCGGGCGCGGGACAGTGCTGTTTCACCTGGTACTGTTCCAACTGCAGCTTCACCCTGTGCGTGTTTCTCGCGCGGGTGAAAAGGCCGCCCTCCAGCCTTTCAGCTGCGTCCGGTTGCCGCGGACACGAGGGCCCCCTGGGAGGCCCTGGAAGTCGAACCACACTGAGATCCGACGTCGCGAAAAAGTTGCAACACCGTAGAACTCTCGGCCAGAACCCATGGACCCCATCTTTCTGCCGTATTTTTCAAGCCGGATCGATCCGTGAGGGTCCCAGGGCCCGAATCAGGGCAACAAAAATCGCCCGTACGAAATACCTGTGACGCCAAGATCTCAGAGGACCCCTCGCCACCACCCCCTGTCGTGCGCGCCACCGGGCAGGTCAAACGGGTTCGGCACGGCCCCGTAGAAGGCCGCGGTGCGCAGCGCCCGCCCCACGTCCCACGGCGGCCGCTCCTGAGGAGCAAGATGAGGGGGGGAGCAGCTCAAGGGGGGGACACATCGGCCTGGAATCGGCGTTACATCGCCGATATATCGGCGATGGCCCCCCTGACAGCACATCCGCACCTTCCTGGGCCGGGGCTGGCCATTGGACCCCTATCGGCGACGAAAGGGCGCGATTGGGGGCCGATGCGTCCCCCCCCCTGAGGCTGTCCCCCCAAAACGTTGCCCCTGATACCCTTGCCTAGTCGCCACGGCTGGATTTGCCACGAATTCGTCGTCAGGATGCGCCCCCGAGGAGGTCGCAAGGAGTCGTGGTATCGGACCCTTTTTGGAGCGTTTTAATTTTTCGCGATCACGGCCGTTACCGGCCCTGGCGGCCGTTCGGGACGATCCGAACACCCCCGAAACGCTCTAGGCGAGGCGCAGCTGCCGGAGAGCATCCCGAGGCTAGAACACCGCCGGGGTCATGCGAAAACGCCCACGATCCTCGAACCCCGAAGGTTTCCCCCCTTGTATACCGTTGCCCCCGAGCTCCTCCGGCCCCCCCTCGGCCCTCCGCGCTGCCCTTCGCCGCGGCGGCCCGTCCCGCGCGGCCCCGCGGCGCGCCGCGGCGCCGAGCGCCAGCGGCCCGGCGGTGCCCCAAAGCGCTTCGGCCGCCGCGCCCTGCGGCGGCCCGCCCGCGGCGCGCGCCGCCGCGCGCCAGGCCGCCGGGCAGCGGGCGGCGGGCGGCGGCAGGCAGCCCGCCAGGGCCGAGCGGCCCGCCGCGCAGCCCGCCGCGGCCAGGCAGGCCGCCACCGCGGCTCCCGCGGCGGCGCGGCGCGCGCCCCGCCGCGCCCCGCCGCGCGCCATTGCGGGGGCTCGAGGCCTCCCAGGTGGGGCCCGAGCAGATGGGGTCGGAGGATCTCGCGCCGCATCGTCGACGCATCGGCGATGCATCGCCGACGTCGGCGCTGCATCGGCGCCAGCGGCGTGGAGGAACTCTGGCTCCACACCGCGCCGCATCGTCGACGCATCGTCGATGCGGCGCGATCCTGCGACCCCCATCTACTCCGACCCCGTCTGGGAGGCATAGAGGGGGCGCCCGCCCCAGACCTCCGACGATGTGTTTTTGGGCAGTCTGGCGTCATCCAGCGATCTCGGCCTGCCGAAAACTGTCCCTGGCGAAAGTGTCGGGAACCTCTGGAACCGCGCCCTGGAAACATAACATCGGAGGATGTCTGGGCCCACAGGGGGAGGCCGCAGGTGTCTTGATGGGCCCTGCACCCTCCCGAAAAACTTGATGAACAGATGCGTCGACATCGTGGGAGCGGGGCGCTGTGGGCTCGGGCCCGGGCGAGTCCCACTCGCCTGCCGTCGCTGACCGACGCCGTCCATCGCAGGGGGCCGCCCGCTGGGGGGAGGCCACAGATATCCAAATACCCAGCGCCGAAATTTTAATTGTTTTCGGCATTTGTTTAGCTCGTTCTGGGTCCTCGGGGGGCCTCCTACAGGGGGGGACCTCTGAAGGCAGATGAACGGCTGGGCGGAAAAACTGTAGAGATCTACGGAGTGGGGCCACCAGAACCCCAGACCCAATTACACCCAACCCCCTGACGTCAGTTTTTTTGTGTGTGCCTGTGTGTGTGTGTGTGTGTTGTGTTGTGTGTGTGTGTTGTGTGTATGTGTTTTAAATCTACCATATATACACACCGATTTACACACATACATATAGATAATAAAAACACGCGCGCTACGCGCACGCTTAGGTTCTAGTCGCAAGTGAGCCACGGGTGCCGCTGCAAGCCCCGCTGTGGCCACAACGACGGTTTCCAGCGTTCTCGGGCCCATGCGGTCGCCGCAAAGAAGCGCGTAGTCAGACCGCGGGGCGCCACGTTCCCGCGCATCTCACAATCTCGCTGCCGCCTTTGCTTGGTTTATCGAACTGCGCTTTTTCTCCTCTTTCACTTCCGCTCAGCCCCGTCGTGGCACTCAATGCTTTTGCGCATCTGTTCGGTCTCCCCATGCCCGGTCGCGCAGACATCCGCCGGCTCCTGATATTGGGGTTGGTTCGGGGCCTCGTTGCGTGCCCGTGGGAGCGCGTTGTTTTTGTTCCCTCTTCCTTGTGCTCCAGGCTTCTCGTTTTCAGCGGTCGTTCAGCTCTCGGGTATCTGCAGAGGGCGCGCGCAAATGTCCCAGTCATCAGTGCCCGTCTCTGCAATACGTTGTTGTCGAGTCCGTCCATGGGAGTGAGAAGCTTCTTTGTGCTCTATGCCAAACCTCATGCCAGCGATAATCGCACCCGTGGGAACACAAGGTTCGGGCTCACAGGGGATGCTCAACAACTTGCCAGGCGTATTCCATTATCCCATGTCTGGTGCTGCCTGGAGCTCTGACGGGGCCTCAGGCGGTACCTTCTTGGCGCTCTGGCGAGGCCTTTCAAGAGGTGAGGGAGGGGCACGCAATCTGAGAAATTGTATACTATAACCACACCCCGCGCTTGGGCGTCCGCCCTGCAAGGGTGGGAGGAGTAAGAATTGCGTAGAATAATATGGTGTAGGGATGCCCTGCTCTCTCTGGCGGGGGGGTCCCTGGCGCTCTGGCGGGGCTTGCCCAGGGGGGGAGGGAGGAACACGAAACTGGAGGAAAATTATGGTATAGCCACACCCCGTGCGCTCTGACGGGGCTGCCTCGGGTGTGGTGGGGGGAGCAAAACAGAACAGGGACTGCATATGGTATAGCAATACCCCTCTCGCTCTGCTGGGGCCGCCCTTGAGGAGTGGGAGGGGCAAAGCAACTTGTGAAATGATAGGGTATAACGATGCCCCGCTCGCTCTGGCAGGGCCTGTCTGGCGCTCTGGCGGGGCCGTCCCAGCAGAGAAGGGAGGAGCACGAAAGCTAAGGGGTGAGGGGAGGAAGAGGAGAGAGGAGGGAATCGAGGCAAAGGGAGGGGGCAGGAGGGAAGGAGGGACGGACGGGGGAGGCCCACGCTATCTGGCCCGTCTTGGAGCGCCCTGGGGCCTCCCGCTCCCGCTGTGTGGCCCAGCTTGAGCCTTTCCAGGGGCTCTCTCTTGGGCCGTCTGGGGCTCCTCCTGAGCAATTTTCAACTCCCTGGTGCCGTCTCAGGGCTCTTTTAGGGGCCTCTTCGGCGGTCTTGGGGCCTTGGGAGCGTCGTCGGCCGTCTTGGAGCGTCGGAAGGTCGAAAACCCGAGACACCGAAAAACATTAAACTTATCAATGCAAATCAATGATTTGGGCCTCGTCGGGCTCTCTCGGAATGCTTCTCGGAGCTCTCTTGAGGCCTCTGGGAGGCCTCCTGGGCTGCGTATTTGCGTTCTCGAACCCATCTGGGGCCACGTTGGGGCTGACTGGGCTGTCTTGGAAGGGCTTGTCCGAGTCTCCGAGGGCTTCTGGTAGCTCTCTTGGGCAGTCTGGAAGCTCCAGGGCCACTCCAGGGTGCTCTGGGAGCGGTCTGGAAAACCCTGGTCCTCCCATGTGCGCTCAAGCCCCGAGCCCCGGGCGCCCGGGCCTCGTGCACGTGGATCTACACACACACACACACACATATATATATATATATATATATATATATACAAGACTGCATTGGCGCTGCGCGCCATGCGCCTTGGTCTTTTGAGTTCTGCACGCAAGCGGAATGCGTGCGTGCGAACATGCGCGCATGCATGTATACACGCGCACGTGCATGCACGTTCCGTATAAATGTCTAGGTGTATACAATATACTTTCATTGTTGTCTGTGTATGCGGCGTACATCTGTACACATAAATGTCTGTGTGTAAGGGTACGAACATGCATACGCAACTCGTACGGGGCATTATCGGGCATCTTCGCTGCATGCCACGAGACCCTCAACGACTGGGTCACAATATGAAATGTCATGGGAGCAAAATCAATAAATGCTGGCATTCGGAAACATCGTGGGGGTGTTCTCGGGGCCCTCGTGGGCCGTTTTGGCGCCTTCATGGGCCGTCCTAGGGCCTTCTTGGGCCGTCCTGGGGAGCTTGGGCCCGCTGGAGCCCCCTTTGGACCCATCTTGCGCACTTCAGGGGACCTCCCATGGCCTTTTTGGGTCTGTGCTGGGAGCCCCTAGGGGGCCTCTTGGTTCCATTATGGGCTGTCTTGGGGCTCTCGTGGGCGATCGTGGGGCCCGGCTCGGCCGTCTTGAAGCTTTCTAGGGGGCCTTTTGGAGCGTCTTGAGGCGATCTCGGGGGCTTTGAAACCGTCTTGAAAGCTGATGCAATCCGAAAGGCGAATATGCGAATATTGTAAGTTTTACAAAGGGAATGGGACGATTTTTGTGGTTTGAAGGCCCCTTGGAAAGCTTTTTGGGGTGCCTTGGGGGTCTTTATGCTGGCATTCGGAAACATCGTGGGGGTGTGTTCGGGGCCCTCGTGGGACGTTTTGGCGCCTTCATGGGCCGTCCTGGGGCCTTCTTGGACCGTCCTGGGGAGCTTGGGCCCGCTGGAGCCCCCTTTGGACCCATCTTGTGCACTTCAGGGGACCTCCCACGGCCCTTTTGGGTCTGTGCTGGGAGCCCTTGGGGGGCCTCTTGGTTCCATTATGGGATGTCTTGGGGCGATCGTGGGGCCCGGCTCGGCTCGGCCGTCTTGAAGCTTTTTTGGGGGCCTTTTGGAGCGTCTGGAGGCGATCTCGGGGGCTTTGAAGTCTTGAAAGCTGATGGAATCCGAAAGGCGAATATGCTAAAATTGTAAGTTTTACGAAGGGAATGGGACGATTTTTGTAGTTTGAAGGGCCCCTTGGAAAGCTTTTTGGGGTGCCTTGGGGGTCTTTCTGTTGGCATTCGGAAACATCGTGGGGGTGTGTTCGGGGCCCTCGTGGGACGTTTTGGCGCCTTCATGGGCCGTCCTGGGGCCTTCTTGGGCCGTCCTGGGGAGCTTGGGCCCGCTGGAGCCCCCTTTGGACCCATCTTGGGCACTTCCGGGGACCTCCCATGGCCCTTTTGGGTCTATGCTGGGAGCCCCTGGGGGGCCTCTTGGTTCCATTATGGGCTGTCTTGGGGCTCTCGTGGGCGATCGTGGGGCCGGGCTCGGCCGTCTTGAAGCTTTCTTGGGGGCCTTTTGGGGCGTCTGGAGGCGATCTCGGGGGCTTTGAAACCGTCTTGAAAGCTGATGAAATCCGAAAGGCGAATATGTTAATCTTGTAAGTTTTACAAAGGGAATGGGACGATTTTTGTGGTTTGAAGGCCCCTTGGAAAGCTTTTTGGGGTGCCTTGGGGGTCTTTTGGGCCGTCCTGGCGCAATTAGAGTCCCTCTTGGAGCGCTCTTGTGCTGCCTGGGGCCTCCCTTGAGCCTTTCTGATGACCCCTCGGATCGCTCTGGGTCTGCTGGGAAGGCGTTTGTGGAGACCGGGAAAGCCGGGTGACCTTTTCCAAGGACGTCCAAGGGAGCCCGAGAACCCCAGATCCCGGGGGTCTAATTTGTTTTGGGGGGGGGGATGGTTTCCCCCCCCCGGGCTTGTAAACATATAGGAAGAGGAATATATAACATAGTTTTGGGGGGGGGATGGTTTCCCCCCCCCGGGCTTGTAAAAATATAGGAAGAGGAATATATAACATAGTTTCTTCCATGTGTCTGTCTGTCTGTCTGTCTGTCTGTCTGT